AATTCAAAATAGGAAGTTTGTTTTATAACTTTTGAATATCAAATATCTTATTAAAACTAACAAATTATTTTTAATTATTTTTATTGAAAAGTTATTGAATATTTTAATTTGTATACAAATCGTATATAAAATAAAATTCGAATTTTAAATCTTAATAACTTTTTATATAAAATCGCTAAAATTCTGAAAATCTGTAACTGAGCTAATAACTATATAAATAATTCATCATTAAAATCTTATTTAATTATATTCATTATTGGGAAAGTTATAAAAGTCAAAAATCACTGTTTTTGGTGTGAAAGGGTGGCCCAAAAGGGGGGGTGGCCGAAAAGTAGAGTAGTGGACTTATAGAGCCTCAGATATATATCGAATTAAATTTTTTATTGTACCGGTATATCTGAATATTTTACTCGAGTATACTAAGATTACAAGGATTATAATGGTATATAGTCATAGTCTTTTAAGTTTAACCTCAAAAAATCATTTAAGTGAGGTTTGGTTGGCCTCGACTGTATCTCTATCCATCCCATACCACCTCTATCCATACCTCACCACTCCAAACTCCACTCACTACCCCATACCTCACCACCCCATACCTCACCACTCCGGAAACTCCAAACTCCAAACTCCAAACTCCAAACATCATCATTTATAACCCAAATCCATATATCCATCCATCATCATCCATCACTTCAAATTGTCTTATTTCTCCGATCTACGAGTATAAGTCTATAAATAAGACTATAAGACTAGGGATAATCTACACAAGTACAAGGAGTTCCGGAGATTTCTCATACCTTATTCACCACTCACTACTCCATCCAAAACCCCTCCCTCCATCCACCCCATCACCACCCCTCCCCCAAACATCCACTCCCTCTACCAAATTTCATCCAAAATCCATCCACACTCAAAAACACACACTACTACACTTCCTCTCCTCATCCTCATCCTCATCCTCATCCTCATCCCCATCCAATACCCCTCTATCCAAAACTCCATCTCCACTCCATCTACACTTCCTCATCCTCATCCTCATCCTCATCCAATTACACTCATCCCACCCACCACTCACCACTCATTTACATACTACCCATTCTTCAAAACGCCTTCTATACATCATTACAGTACGTACTCGAATAGAATCTAAAACAAACAAATAATCAGTAAATAAGCAGACTCTAGAGTCTTTTAAATTTTAAATTATACATTTCTTATTCTGATTCTATATTTTTGATTAATCTTTTAATCTTCTATTTTCTTTCTTTTCTTTCAATCCCCCTCTTCTCTTTAACCTCCCCACACCCCCCTCCTCTCCCCCTTCACTCCAAACCCTACACTCCTCTTCTCACTCCAGCTCTCAGGCTCCCCTTAAATTTTCACTCCCTTGCCGAGCCACCCCATCCCAACAGCCAGCCATACACCACAAACCACAAACCACACACCACACACCACAGCAAAATTATCACAACGGGCACATCATACCCGTCCATAAACAAAAAGAGTTCATCTTGCCATCTCATCTACTACCAAAAAAAGTATGTGTTGTCTGGTATGGTAATCGATTCTTTCGCCCTGCCTGTCCTTCGGACCGACTCCCAGTATTTCTAAACCTGTCTCGTCTCTTCTCCCAGGAAAGAAATAACATCCGTCTAACCACCCCTCTTCTATATACAAATATATCATCTCATCTTAATGTTATCTGATCTCATTCGATCTATACCACGCCAACCACCCAAGCCACCCCAGCCACCCATCCCCAATTCCCCATCCTGCCCCATCCTACCCCCTATCCCATCCATCTCCACTCATAAAACTTGCAAGATAAAAACATAACGCATAAAAACAAAATAAAAATCCACCACCTAAACGCCATCGCAGAAAAACCGACAATAAACAATAACGCATACGTGTAAAAACGAGAGTACCTCCATCCTTATGATCCCAATGATCGCTTTTGTTTTCTCTTTCCTTTTGTCTTCGCATATTCCGATCCATCCATCTTCCCATTCGTCTTTCCATCCCTTCTAATAAAATAATCGTACAATCCTTCCAACAGGAATCTCAAATAACAAAAAAACATGTTTGTACAAGAGAATCAAAAGACTCTCGATCCATCCACTTGTAGGATCATCCGTGTGCGTATAATCGTAAAAATAAAATAAAAAAGTGTTGAGTTGAGGATTTCGAAGAATTTTAAAAACCATCAAGCATGCCATCTAATTCGTCCAAATCGATAGTTTCCGGACTTCTCATATCCCAATCTAGCGGCCCAATCCAACGTGGGGTCCAATTCGCGTGAGAAGTTTCCACCGTCGTATCCCAAGATTTTTTCGACGCGAGAACAGGTTTCATAGCGGGGCTATTCAAGAAAATCCCCGTATTTGACACCGATAAACCTCGGCCTTCTCCGAAAAATGGATCAGATTCCACGCTTTTCATCGGGGTATTGGAAACGTTTGATGGCATATCGGTCAAATCTGATGGTTTCGATAACGCTTCGCCACTGAATTTCCTTTTTTGCATTCCACGCGCCGTTTGAGTAAATTCCTTTTCGTCTTTCTCGAGAGGTGGCGATGAAGTGCGATTATTCCTCACGGAACGTTCGTGACGACCAGCAAAGGAACCTGTTGGAGTAGGAGGTGTAATTGAAACATCATCATCGTATTCTTCGGAAGATAAATCGACTTCAGGTGATAGAGATCTTCTCCCTTCACCATCTGCTCCATCAGATGTTGATTCTGCGCTGGATATAGAAGGAGAAATGATGGTTCGTTGAGGAAATTGTGATGGGTCGGGGATTGGTTGATGTGGGTAAGTGGTCAAATAAAAGTACGTTCTTCTCGGGTGTACAGTTTCCAACTCTTTTCCCACTGGACAAGGTGAAGACGCGCTCCATGATGATCGTTTAAGATAGGTAGATAATCGTGAGGAGATAATCGCGGATGGATTGGCAGATCTAGATTTTTATTAGCTTCAAACCTTCAAAATGATGGACCGGATGAGTCGGCATAGTTTTAAAACTTACTGTTCCACGATTTTCACACTCCGGGACAAAATAATTGCCAATTGCTTAACCAAATGAGGTGTATTACCAGTTTTTAGTAATTGAACAATAACACCTTCAACAATTTCATCCTTTATCTCGTCCAAATCAATTTCTCTAGGTTTTATTTCCTCCACTTTCACATCCTCAACATCATCGTGGACTGAAGATGGCGGTGAGGGTGGCGGGGTATGCTCATATTTCAGATGCACACGTTTTGGTGGTGAAGGCGATATTGAGAATGAACAAGTACGAAATCGTTTTATTTTTTTCGAATGATTTTGCTGTTCTGATATCGGCGTCGCTGTTATTGTTGTCGTTGTTGTTGTTGTTGTTGTTGTTGTTCTTGTTGTTGAAGGCGGTGAAAGACGTGCGGCCGCTTTTGAAGCATGAGTTTCCGGTAGTTGTATGCCTAGCATAGGTAAATTCAATGATTTTCGTCGTGTATCATAAGGCATGATGATAGTTGATTTACAAGTGGATGTGTGAAGGCAAATGTTATTTGAGAAAGATTATTGTTTTGATAGAAGTTGGTATTAAAAGACGAATGAGCGGCGATAGATGGATGTAAAGTTTGTTGTATGATTTTCTTGTAAGTTTACTGAATTGATTTGCGACGAGAAATCTGACGAAGAAGGGGGGGGGGCTTCTTAGGTTTGTTGTTCCTGCAATATGATCTTTCGTAGCGACGGGAATAATTGATTAGACGTGTTTTAATTGGATACAAGGGACATACGGAATGCAGCATATCAGGGTGCAGTGACACAAGAAAGAACTGGAGATTCCAGATAAAGTAAGGTAAGAAGGGTTGGTGGTTTTTTTTTATTTTAATTTTTTCTTATGAGGGGGCTGAATTTGGTTGGTTCTTGCTTGGGTGTATAAATGGGTCTTGAATTAGCAGATTGAAAGGCGGTAAAAGAGATGAATAACAATATAATATATCAATTTCCTGAAATATATCTATTGGTATATTGATTGATTATTGTTACTTTATATATAGATGATGGAAATGTATGATTAGTACTGTATTTTCAGTCATTGATATTGATGATGAATGAATGGGAATGTCCGAGTATCGGTACTGTTTCAAAATAACTAGTATTGTATGACTTATAGAGGGGAACTTGAACTAGATGGTATATCATAAATCTACAGAAGATAGTGTTACTGTAGAAGGAACTCAATGTCTGATCTGATGTATATCAATAGAGTTACTATATATGATTGGAAACTAAATGTTCAATTTGATGTTATAGCAGAAACTCTAATCCAACTAATGATATCAACCAAGGGTAAACTCATCATTCGAAATGATCAAGGCAAGAGAAATTGGCAACATTTATAACGAAGACAGGGAATACTTTTGGCCCGTTGTTGGAGCATTCATTCCTTAGAATTCCAAACACCCAAAGACCGAGTCCCTTAGGTCCAGATCTATGAGAATATCGGACTACTAGACACAAACTAACACAAAAGGCATCCAATTTCCAATAATTCATACAACTGGCATTAGTACTTACTTGTACCAGTATTAGCAATCTTTCATCAAAGTCAAAAACTTACGTACCCCTACCTACTTGATCCGATCCCTTCATCCATCTGTTGGGAAATTCCGAAACCATGCCCGAAAACTTCCATTCCCCTTCAAGGATCACACTTAACCGAACGAACACTTACCGAATTTCAATGTAGACAAGGTCTAGAAGAAAAGACTCAAACGAATTTCTCAAAATAACCTCAAATAAAAAAACAAACACACAAACCAAAACAGCAAAGCAGCATAATCTGAAGCACAAGTGGTCAAAAGGAATAATGAATAGAACCCACTCATGAGTCGAGTCGAGTCGTGAGTCCTGTCTGTGGTAAATTATTTATGGATATATAGCTCGTGGCGAAGCGATCCATTTTATAGATAAATAGAGGGGTCTAGGAGGGGATATTCCTTGAAAGATGCAGAGGGCAAAAAAATATGCTTCTTTCTTTCTTTTCTTTGGTTTGATTTCGCTGGACTGGGCCCCCAAGATTCAAGAGTCAAGAAGTGGTTGATCACTTGGAAAACAGATCTCTGACCGAATACTAACTCATGTCAATGTGTTTGTGTATCACCGTCATGATATGATACTGTATCGGCAAATGCTGAACGCTCTTTTTAAAGTACTACAGTATCGAGTAATAAAACCGATGAGATTGTTTGAGCTAGCTCTGGTACCGCGCACCTATCTTACTTGCTGACTTGTTGTACAGAGTACAGCAGTACAGATCAGAACGTTAAATTGAGTAACCATAAGCATAAGCAATGAAATGGTATGGTTCCATTCTAACTGCCCTGCCCTACCCTGCCCTGCACCCACCTCAACTCAAGCTCAATCAAACACAAAAATTGAAAAAGAACACACGACATCACCCAAAACACACCGATCAAAGCGCCACAATCACTAATCTCCTCCCCAGCAACAAAATATGATTCGTCCAATCCGTATTTCCATAACGTCAAGCTCCACATCCATCTCCCTAGTCCCCTACCCATATCTTCGCCTACCGATCCCTGCTACGCTCACCGCAAGGATCTCCCTCTCGCCCGAGCAACACCCACTAGATATTTTTCCCTCATCCCTCATCCCTCCATCCATCATCCATCGGTCGTCTCGTCAACCCATAAACCTTGAAACTGCCACCCCACCCGCCCCAAACAAGTAAGCGACCCAATGAACTCCTCAACATTTAGCCTCGAAATTTTTGAATGTGCTAGGTGTTGTATTTGGTTAGGGTTTAGTTTTATGAGTCCTAGTTTGGTGAACGCTCTTCCGAATGGGTTCCACGACTTTTCAGCGCCTGCAGTACGACATATAGTACTTGCTTAGTTATTGCTGCTTATCCCGGTTTCTCGTTTTGAGGATGGATAAATGGATAAATGGATGGATGGATGGGTTTTTCTTTTGCTTCTAGAATCTGAATTTTGGAATAGGAATGGAAATGGAAAGTTTGTGAAAGGGGGGATAAATGACTTGTACCGGTAGTATTGATATTCGCATTTCGAGCTCCTATATATTTTTTCTTATAACTTGAATAGTTAATTAATCAATCAATCTATTATTTCCAAAAAAGATCCAATTCATTTTTCGCTTCTACTATAAACAACTAGGAACTAGAACTAGATCCGGATCCTTGATTTTCCATTCGCCGTAATACTATATATATGTAACCTTACTGTAGTATTTCTCGACTCAAAATTATTAAAATTGTTAACTTAAATCATTCTTATATCGCCCTTTCAAATCAAAGTCCAGAGTCTAGATAAACTACGAGTTACCAGTATGGTATTTAAACTAAATTATGAGTATAGTAGAGGTAGATGAGGAAACCCCTTTGATCAATCACCCAACCCGGATTTCAGAGTGTGGGTGGGGATCTAGCTATATGGTAATGAATGGTATGTTAATGTTGTTGGGAGTGTAGGTTTGATGTGGGATGTGGGATGTGAGGGGGAAATGGGTGAGGTGAGAGGTGAGTGAGGATATGGGAGGAAGCACTGAGCAGAAGATGGTGGGGGATTGTGGGGGATTGTGTATAAAGTTCCCTTGTCTTTGATTTTTGTGGGTGTGTTTTTTGTTATATGTTATATGTTATAATGGATAATGAGTGATCGGAATCTTTGGAGATATATTTAGTATAGACGGAGGAGATGTGGTGATGGTGGTGATGGTGGTGGTGGAGTGGTTGGTGGGTTGATGGGTTGATGGGAGGGTGAGTAAGGATATGGATGGGGAAGAGGGAAGAGGAAAGAGGGAAGATGAAAGAGGGAAGAGGGAAGAGGGAAGAGATAGGGAATGGGGAAGAAGAGATGGGGAAGAGGGAAGAGAGAAGAGGAATGGGAATGGGAATGGGAAAGGGGAAGTATTACTATCGCCTTTAGTACTTACTACCCTTTCCATACTTGCTCATCCTCATATTATTCTTCACCATCCACTATTCCTTTCATTACCGTTATTTCATATCAATCCGATATTCCAAAACAAGATGTTCAGTAACTTCAGTCCGGTTTATCTGTCGATATCTACGAGGCGCATCTTCTCCCCATCCCCCTAAAAGATTGGATGCGAGGAATGGTAGCTTGTTGCTTTCGAGTAGATACATTCTTCGTCCACTCTTTTCTTTTAGTTACTTGTGTGGTTTTGATTGATGGAACAAATAGTGCAGACATAGTGAAGGAAGGGACTTTATATATCGGTGAGTTGGCGGGTTGGCGGGTGGAGTAACTCATTTGGGTGCGCGGGAGAATAAACTCAGATTTGGAAAGACGAGGATGATTTAGTGTTAGTGAGTCGGTGAATGATTGGATGGTCGTAGTGATGATGAAGAATCTAGTTGGATCATTTATTTTGAGAATTGAACCGCGCGAAAGTGGAATATGGTCAGTCGTCATCAATGAGAGAAGTGAATCATGAGGAGGGAGGTGTTAGAAGTCTAGTGCTAGTGGTGCCTATATAAGATTCCGAATTTTATGTTTCTTCTGCAATACACACTGATGAATGGCAGATAGAAAAGATAGGGCTTTGGTTTTGTGTGCTTTTGAATGGCCTTTGAAGCATATCGTATAAACATACCTAGCTAATGTTTCTATGTATTTTCTCGACGAAAAAAAGGAATAGTGCTCCGATATCATCTTTCCCTATCTAATCATAAGAAGACAGTAATTATACATTCTGAGGTTTCCTCGTCTTGTAGACTCTGACCGCAAATTACTAGTATAGTCCGTGCAAAGGCGGTGAGAGGTGGGGATAGTGGCTGCACATGGGTGTTTTTATAGATTTCAGGCCTAAGCGAGATAATCTTGTAGTGTGGTTATAAAAACTCACTAGTCACACACCAGGAAGTCCGCCTACCCCATTTCTGATCTAACCGGATGCGTTATCTTCAGATTCGGGTCGGAAGAACCACCTCCGGAGCTCTGAAGATAACGCATTCGGTATAGTTTGGCCTATGCACGGACCATACTAGTAATTTGCGGTCAGAGTCTCTACGAGACGAGGAAACCTCAGAATGGTAATTATATATAAACGACAGTGATAACAGGTTAATACATGCTATCCTATTATCCCATCCCATCCCATCCCACCAAAGCTTTCTCCATCCTGGATACCGAGGGGCTCAATGATCATGACTTAGTCAACCCATCAATAAGTCTTCCTCTTCCTCAACAATGCCTATTCATGTTATTACGCCATTCCTCCACCGACTCCCCTTCCTTGATCGCGAGAACAAGAATGCTTGAAGGAGTTGGCTCCGAGGCGTCGACGGAGATATGTTTTTGTCTTTCTTGTGGAAGGGTGAGAGAAGGAGAGGATTAGATTTGGATTCAGAGTCAAGCTTGGTGAATTAAGTATGAAGAATGAAGATGTTAGTACAAAGGAAAGTTAGAGTGACCTATGTAAGAAAAGCAGAGGAGGTGAGGATAGACTCAAGAGAGAATAGAAAATCAATATCCTACTCTGTGGAAGTTTCGGAAGGATGTTTTTGGGGATTCCTTGGGATTTTGAAAATGTTATATATTAAGAGAGGAAGTCGAGGGTGAATATATGTTTCATTTGGTTCATAGGATCTGAAGATACAATGACTGAGCTATATTATCAAAATCACAATTGAGGCTCGGGATTTGGAGAAAGGATTTAGAGGTTGGGATAGTGCAGTCACTTGGTCCTTCATTTCCAAAATATTTACTTGGATTTATTGTTACAAGTTAGTCTGCTATGTATATATTGGCATATAATTACCCATTTTGAAGAAGCTTATTAATATTTAAGACTTAGCATTGTCGATTTACAAAGCCTGAAAGAGAAATACTCACAGTCATGTTATCACACACCTTTAACACTGGCTATTTGTAACACTAGGTGTTTATTCTTAAACAATAGAGTAGTGTTATGTCGTATTTGAGAGTAACCGCCTTCCATTTAGTATGCTTCTATAGTAAAATAGATTTTCCACGGCATTTCATGTTTTTCATGTTTCACATCATCATAGTTTTCAATGTTGATAAATCCTCACGTCTTCATTTTTGAAAATGCACATATAAATCCATGACAGAATCTATAACGCAACCATGGAGTTTGCAAGTAAGACATACAATGTGGAAGCAGTACTGTAAACATCAACTCGGGATGTATCTCAATGATACCCATCTGTACAAATAGCTGTGTTCATACAGATATCTCAAATGTTAATGAAATGAAGCAGGTTAGTACGATATGGAGGATGTACTCGAGTAGTACCGTATTAACCGCAGTGATAGTATCTGGTGCGAAAACTTGATAGAGAAATTAGAAGGATGGTTGATATTATACTCGCTTCCGAGCTAGATGTTGCGGTCGCTATTCAGCAGCTTATGAATGCTAAAATCGACTTATGTGAAGTTGAGAGATGGATATTCGGTACAAGCCTGGAAGAAAAGATCACGTTGATACATGTCTTTTGTACTAGGATGGATAGATTTGCGGCGAGCTGGTTTGAGATGAGCTGGGTATGAATTAGTTACTGCAAAGTTGTCGAAACTGGGGCTCGCACAGGGTGATAGCGGCGCGATCTGTCCATCCAGAAAGTCTTCAGTTGACCAGGATTGATCCAGAGAAAGCAAAAGTAAACGGAATTCTCAGTCTACATTCGTAGACGTGATTTCTATTCATGTGACAGACAATACTGAAGTATCATACTCCCTAATTTTGGCGGATGATGGTATGAACAATGCATCTAGCTAGTCGTTGCAACACAACCATGCATCTTAATCCATGATCCAACATCTACAAGAACATATATACCCGGATTGAACCTTATTACACAATAAATCATTCTTCGAAGATCGAATAAGAGCCGTTGCCTTGGGCAAAATGTTTGCAATCCTCTAATCATCATGGTCACTAATCGTGAGTATTGCTCTTCTCTCATCTAATATCCTTGTTCCCCTACTTGGGCTCTTCAATTTTGTCTAATTTTATGTATCATGTATATGTATAAATTTCTTGACGGTGATCACATCTCTGCAATCCCACATACACCATGAGCTAAATCATGAACTAGACGTCCGCTGAGATTAGCACATCATTTTTCTCGGTTTAGATGGTCCTGTTATCCGGGCACAAGAAAATCTCATTTGGGATTCTATTCCGCAGCAATCATTTTCTCAGCACTTCGCCTCGCCTCGCCTCGCAACGTAGAACTGTGAATTTTCTTCCTCGACCATGAGGTACAGTACCGTCTAAACTGAGAACAGATCCAATTATATCTCGCCTAGCTATTAATCAAGCCAAACTTTATATAGTTAGGTTTTTGACTTATATAGAAACATAGAACTAAGATAAAAAATCAAATAATTTACTTCGTTGATTTTCTGTTTGGATTTTCGATGGATTGATAGCTGAACCAAATACAGCTAGACCTGTTCTCAGTTACTCGAGTTTAGACGTTATCTGTAGAGGTGACAAACATTTCCCCGTCTTTTATTCATATCTTATGTGAGTGCCAGATTTTTACTGAAAGTTATAGTCAGGAGAGAATGAAGCAATTTTATGCACAATACTTCATGTTGTAAATGGTCCTAGCAATTTACATGTTGGCTTGTTGTCCACAGTTTTGATCATATATTCCTTAGCCGATATACTGCTTGGTGCACAACGAGACACCGGATTAGACGGAGAATTTCCTCCTATTTCTTGAAAGGGGCCATGAAAAATAACATCATTGGACCCACGAAGCAAAGATAAACGTTACCCATTCAAACTTCTAAGTATCATTGCTTTTTTGCCAAAAGAATAAATATATTGTCCCTGCCCACAACCCTGATCCTCTTAAAATCAAATTTCGGATGTGCAGCCAGTCCAGCACCTGCTGTTCTAAGACAAAAATGATTGCTTACTGAGCTTTTCAATGCTACAATACTTTCATTCTTCTCATATAATTTCATAGAAAAGAACTTCTTAGTCAACAAACGAACTCTCCGTCACAAGTGTGCCGTCGCATTCACACCACTGTACTAACCTAAGGGCGAGCGTCAAGCTCGAGGGCCCCGGGAGCGCGTTCCAAATCGGCAACATTTCTGTTATGAACACGGTTCTCTTGTGCCCAGTTTATCACGTTTGAGTACGGCCGACACATGTGAACGCTGCACCTTTTAGCATCTATACCAACTTTCTAGATATAGCATAGGGATCCTTACGTATTGAAATCGGGAAATGGTTGTTTCCAGTCCTTGGCCCATACATACGTTATAATACCGACGTCCGGATCACACATGAGCTACCCGACAAGGTTAGCAGAAAGCATACAGATTTGTGGGTAAGCCGGCGTCACCTTTTGACGCAGCATATCTATGCAATGGTCTAGATGTTAGGTTGGTTAGCATACTCGAGTATCATCCATCTATTGGATTTGTTTGAGACCAACACTTACCAATATGATATCTAAAGGTATCCGGATCACTTTCCCATTCCACGTTTTTCGAAAGATAATAATCCAAATGGGTATATTTCCGTATCATATTCAAACAATGAAGCTGATGAAAAACCTCAATCCCAGCGATATATCCTCCTCCCATCTTCTCAGTATACTCAGCCGCATACTCAGACGCGTTGATTCTCCCAAGCTGCTCTTTCGATATGCGTACCAACCCTCCCTCAGGATACGTTATTTCTTCCCACGCATCATCGATTTCTGGACTTGGAGAACCGCGGAACTTATTAGGCGCTCGGAGAGCTCCGACAAAACGTCGGGATGATATTTCGTCGTCGTTAAATCTTGAGAGCGCTGGTGACCAGATTGACATCTTTCGTGTGCAGCTATCAATTTTTGAGTTCATGGACACAATTTCATATGTGACAAAATTCGAAAGAAAACCGATTACCACTCCAATAAGAATAGAGCGATAATTGAAAATTTGATTGGCGGCCGGGGTGACTTTGAAATCGCCCTCCAAAGCTTCGTTCTCAGCATGAATATCGCTCTTGACGAGCTGGTATGTTTTCATGATCACCAGATATTTAAGATCAAAAATGAATTTTCTAATTGTATATTAGACTATTCGCAAGAATTCTGTTGTCTATTCGCAGCGGCGTAATAAACCTCGGGTACAGTAGCGGCTTATTGTCTCTACAACAACACCTCGGATATTCATGTACCGATATTATTTATACAAGGTATATCTATTATTCCAGGTAGCAAGGGATATAAGATGGTGTGGTAGTTTCTAAGCTCTTTCGTCCTGTGCCAGAGAAGCGCAGAATATTGATGTAGCAGCTTCAGATGACGGGGGTTGATAGTTTACCCTTTGATGCTAGATGTCTTTTCTTACTCTATATTACTACGAAAGCCGTGTTGAACTCTAACTCGAAGTTCACAACGAAGCCATGTTTTCTAAATTGACGTCACCTGATTATAATTATTCTTCACTTAAGGATCAGAACGAGAACGAGCCTGCGAAGCAGTCAGTCCATGGCATTCTTTCTAGATTTCTGTTTTTTTTTGGAGGGAAATCGTAATATTTTGTCTTTGCATCACATGCGGCTTCCTGACTTTCGAAACATTCCTCAATCCCTTTCATGAAGCGGATCGCGCACAGGTTCAGGCCTATGGTGAGAACCTAAAGATTTAAGTGATAGTATGACACTTACATATACTCCCAGAACTCACATCCAGCAATACTCGCTGGAGACAATTCCAATGGCACACGGATATCTACAGCTCGGACAATCCAAACCATAATGAAGCTATATCTGCAGCATGGGATCGAATCGTGCCTGCTCACGGGTTTGTGGCTGTTGACCACGAATGGGCAGCAGAACATAATCTTCCAGATAGTATGAGCCTTCCTTCGAATTCCACCAAAGGTGTATATATTATCGATGCGTCAGTAATCCGTTTACACCGAATCTTTTTTCTTCGTTGACTCAGATTGTATCAGCTACCACCAAATCCACTGCATCACGATCATTCGCAAAACTTTGTCCGAAATAGCATCAGGCCAGACCCCAAGTGTACCATTACAACACTCATGGCACTGTTTCGACAGCTTGTTGCAATACATTATGTGTGGTACTTCGGGAGATACGCTGCTTTATACATGGGGGAAGAATGAGACGGGTAGTGGACAGCATCGTCGATGTATTGACTGGAATAGTAGGAAGAACTGGGCAAAGGAGAACTCGGCTTGCTATTGGGATGGCGATAAACCTATTCCGTTGTATGATCATTTCGATCACTGTGAGAGTGATGATGATGGGATTAGAGTGGCGGGTACCTGGTGATTCCTTCACGTTACTGGGGAAGATGTGAGAGCACATTGATGATGGTTGGGACTTCAAAAAGATGATAGTATTGAAGGAGATATTAAATATGGAGTCGAAAGCAATTTTAGTGATGATGGCGCTAGAATGAAGGGTAAATAGTAATTCTTTCACCTCATTGGAAATATGGGAGAGTAAATTGATGGCTGGGGGGCTCAATGCAAATGATAGTATTGCATTAGATGTTTAATGAGTGTATCGAATCGAAAACTCCTTTCTGTGATCTCCAAAAGACACAATATAATAATACGCAAAAGAATCCCCCGATCGACGTGCTAGTAGAGATAGCGGTACAGTAAGCAGCTGAGCTCAACAAACAAGTTACCATCCTTCGGAAATTTGAGTACCATCTGCCACTTCTTCACTTCGTTTCCATCCTTCCGCAATTTGAGTGCCGTCGGTCACCTCCTCGCCTCGCTTCCAACCCTCAGCAATTTGAGTGCCGTCAGTGATAGCGTCAGTACTTTCTGATCGACTTCTGACTGTCAAAGCATCGCTAACAATCACCGCTGTAACATATTAGTATAATACGAAATCACGGAATCTTTGGAGTTCACGTACTTGGCAGGGCTGCGACCTGACTTACGATGCACAGACTGAGGAGTGAGAGGAAGTTGGCCTTCATTGTGATTGATAATGCTTTATGTTCGTGGTGAGAATGGGATCGAGAAAAGCGTCGAGTTGAGGTAAAGTGACTGTTAGACTTTCAAACTTTGCTTCTTGCTCAGATACTACCGAGCAATATGTATAAGCTAGCGATGAGAGATCGTTTACTCGTTTCATCAACCCCTGATTAACTTGGAGGTGTGCATGCCATCGAACTTCTAGGGTTTTACGAGAGGCCAATAAGGGTATTGTTCATCCCCAATTTGGCACTCGGCAGGATATGCTGAAAATGTGTGTAGGTATTGAAAGTTCCATCAATAGGGGCCTGTTACCATAATGAATTCTCCGCAATACCGTGCCGCGAAGTAAGGTAAAAATTGGTGGTATTCAGTGAGCAAGAGGCACAAGCTCAGATGATGTGGCCTTCTAACTTAGGAAAGTGCTATTTCTTTTCTCCAGGACATGTATCCAACCTCCTTATCTTATTTACCAACCGCTCAAGAGTCTTTTGCGAATCATGGGGCGAAGCTCACTCAAATCTCAGGCCGTTCACAACGAGAGCAGGCTGGCAATTAATTTTCATGCAATACCTTGGATGCTTCTTTCTTTGGGCTTGCTCATGTTCAATATCATACTATATGGACAGAATCGACGACTTGAGGTTGCTGCAAATGATAACGGTTTTAGTTCGCTATCGATTTCATTGAGACAACTTCCCTGAGCTAACACATCTTTAGCAGGAATATACACCCATGGGAAGACATGGGATCAGTTCCACACATACACCGAGTACAGCGATGTGAACCAGTCCATTTCGGACGCCGCATGGGAATCCTTCACAACAAACGGTTTTGTTGCCATTCCACACAACGAGGCAGCAGACTTTGGTCTTCCTCTCGCCGAAGACTTTCCCGATGATCCGAGTAAGGGGGTGTATGTGCTTTCAGGGTTTCATCAAGTCCACTGTGTGGTGAGAAATGTTCCGAAAAAGTTTTGGCGCCGCTGATCTAACACTGTTGTAGATATATCTGCGAGATGTAATCACGGACTTGAGAGCCGGCAAATCAGTTGACGAAAAACTCATTCATCTCAACCACTGTTACGATGCTCTGCGCCAAGAGATTCAGTGTCATGCCGATGACACCCCTCTCTATGCTCCTTATCGATCAAAACTTACCGGAAATGGCCAATTCCGACGATGTAGAGATTGGAAGGCGTTGACGACTTGGGCGCAGGAACATACTGCTTGCTATCCTACTGGGCATTGTGCAGATCTGGCGCTAGTCCCTGGAGTGTAAGTGTACAGCATGACACATAGCACGCCTCAAAACTTCGGTTGCCTATAGGAAGTAATCTTATTCCTTGAATCCGTTAATGCCAAGTAATATATAATGTATCGGAGGCACACAAGTACTGTGGACTCGCCAATGAGCCGCAACTAATAGTCCGTTTTCCAGCATATCTCTATCACGCTCACGTAAGCGCGGGGGACCCGTAAGCTTTGCCATCTGCAATACTGTAACATCATTGCATGCTGACGATATCGCTGGCGAGCAACTGTGCCCCAAGGCTAAAATTTCCTTGAGTCATGGCACAGCATATCAATATGATAACTTAATCACCATCGATACGTGCATGAGCGGCGTAGAGATATGGTGCTATACTTCATTCGATTCTGGCAATAGTGCCACCCAACGACCTGCGGAGTTTTTCACTTGGTGAGATTTTAGCAACTCATGTGCTGAGCCGCATCTGTACTTCTGAAGGATCACTATGGTTACTTAGGAGAATGGGGAATCGCGGAGATAAATAAGCTTCAGACTTTATGAAGTACCCCGGGTTAACGACTCATCTAGACTGTTTTAGTCACTAATGTGACGCAATTTGATCGGATCCATGGTCCAGTGCCCTACTTAAAACTTTCCACTCAGGCTCGATGGAGCTAATTGGGTTATTGTATATCAAAAATAATTCAAAGGTTTTGCACGACCTCTAATCCAGAGAAATTCGATGTAACTGAGCGATTCAACACACAGAATATGTTGGTTTGATTTTTCGGAAGTTGTAGATGAGTGAACAGAATTTCTTTTTTCAAAGCATCAACACGGTAATGGTAGGCTTCAACGCACCTATCCGCTTGCTGACCATGTAGATTGATATTTTTTCAGTAAGCGGAAGCAGTAGATTCATCCCATCCATGCACGGAGTCACAATTACTTCGCGCCGACTAGCTCAGAGCCGGATTGCACACCGAAAGTTTGAGTCTATACGAAACATCTAAAACCAGTTAATCTGTTGATAGAAATCCTGCTGTCTATGATAGGTAATAAGGTATATTCCCAAATACCACCTATCAAAGTATATCTACCATAACCCTGATTCCTTTCGAGTCAAGATTCGAATGCGCCACCTGATAATCATGCACGAAAGCCACCTCACGCTCATCCGTATTCCACAGCTTCAACTCGAATTTTCTTACCAACGCCGCCGTCGCCAACAACAATTCCGTACGTGCCAGTTCAATACCCAAACACTTGCGTCCCCCTTTTCCAAACGCCGTCCGAAATTTCCGGAGCAGGCGACCATCTTCTCCTAACCATCGTTCTGGTTTGAAAATGAAAGGGTCCGGAAATACACTCTCGGCCGTATGCGCACTAAGAGTCGTTGTACTAACTGGTGTGCCTCCTGGAATAATATAGCTTCTGCTGAATTTTAAAGGATTACTCGCGTATTGAGATGGAGTATATGTGAGTGGTTCATAGGAAATCCGAGCTGTGCGAGCAGTGACACCAAAAGCCAGTCGGTTTCCTTCCCCAATAATAGCAGACAGATAGGGGAGCTGCTCGAGTTGAGTCCATGTTGCATTGGTGAGGAGGGTGCTGAGCTCCTTACGAAGTTGAGCGAGAATCAGGGGGTGCGTGATGAGGTTGTAAAATACGATACTCAATGTCTTGGCGGGGGATTCGGTACCGGCGAGTACGAGAAGTGCTCCTTCGTTTTGGAGGCGCGGTAGCGATTTCTCTGATTCTGGCAAGCTAGCATTGTCTAAGACAGAGTCATATACCGATTCTTTTCCTGTTGGACCCAGTGATTTGTTGGTATTTCCAGAGGCTTTGGCTGCTATGATGGCTACTAGCTCGGCACGGACTCTCTATAGCGACACATCGTAAGTAATCAAGACCTTGAAAGACAGACTTGAAGACTTACTGCGAATAAAGCGAACATGTCAACCAGTCCAGGCGGCATCATTGGCTTGGTTATGGATGGCGGGAGTTTCTCGAGAATATCAGGAATCCATGGCAAATGTTTGTTTCTGTGGACACCTCTCAACAGCTGATAGGTATTACGACAAAGTAACGCAGCCTTTTTCTCATCTGCAAGGTTGTTGAATTCATGGGCAAATAAAAAGTTCTCGGCCATACTATATTTGGTGAGCATGAAGGTATGAGCATTTGAGACTAATGGAAGCCATGCTCATTAGAAAATGCAAAGAATACATCCGATAGATTGAATGGCGACTTATCGACAGCATGACCGGCAATCAAATTGCAGAGCTGTTGGACCTTTCCAGTAATCAATGGCTCCAAGTAGAGAACATTTCTTTTACTGAAGAACGGAGCCAAAGCTTCGCGGCGCTTCTTGTGGAGATCGAAAGATACCGTAGAGCCAATGCCTCCAGGAACCCGAAGCTGCTTCATATTTCGAGCATACTTATCCCTTCGGGACGTTGAGGGTGCGTAGATTGTATCAAGAAATCCAACATCATTGACATGAAGTTCGTCTGGGGTGATGCGAATGATTGGACCTAGGCAGGTGGTATGTTCAGCAGTTAAAATTTCTCGGGCAATGATGGAATATCCGACGAACCGTATGATTGATGAAGCTTCTTGATTTGAAAGACATATTGCCCTGGTTGAATAACATCAAAATAAAATTCATACCACCAGGTAAGTGCTGCAAGCTTGGGTCCGGGAATGTGTCTTAATGGATGGAAGTAGAGCCTGTAGATTGCCCCCGTCGCTACTGAAAGCAACACTATAGTCAGTACTGTTTCTATGATTTTAAACAGTACCATGATGACAAGTGTAGCTGTAGTTTTAACGTCATCAGCAGTCCTTCAAGTTGTAGTCGTGTCGATTCAGGAGCCAAACAAAACAGTTGGTACCAACATTTTGCTGACAGATCCAACGATTAGTAACCGAGTTTTTAATTGCGTTACTAACCAAACAGGTACGGACAGTGCAAAAGATTCATGCAATGAGATTAAAGACTTGTGAAATTTCGAGGTTTTAGCTGTCTTCAAAAGTATCTATATTGCCCCGACTTTTTGTGATCGCCTTGGACTCTTTCCAGGATATATACTTCAACCTATTGGTGAGCCTGTTCTCGATTCAGGCTAAATGCATGCATATTTGATGCATGTAGAGTGGTATTCTACAATGTGTCAGTGTAGTCTTTGGAGTGGGCCTATCTTTCTTTATTTCTCACACACCCACTCTAATCTCCTTCCCAACAGAGCAAGTGCCTAACCTGAGATCTAGGATGCCTGTAGCCTCGCTGATAGAATGCTACGTTCTCTTGAAATACCCAAGTTGATAGTTTAATTTGGTGTGCCGCACTTCCTGGCATTGAAATACTCGAGGAAATTGATGTGAGTGATATGCCACATCCTCTTTTCTATACAGCATATCTAAGTAACAGTAACGAGTAGTCCTTCAATAAAATTTTGGCAAAGAGTATTCCGTAAGCCGCGTGCCAGACACTGTGCGCATGAGGCGTAGAATTACTTGGCAGACAAGCGGCCCTTCTGTTTGTGAGATTAACCTAATATCCAATGGCTTATTCACTTGAATACAGTATCAGCTCCAAGTGACTTGATATTTTTCTCCACAGCACTGTGTAGGACACAACATGACGACAGACAATTATGCCAATCCCGCTGCGATCTATTTCATTGCGATCTTTTTCCCCATCCTAGGCTCCACTGCAGTTGCTTTGCGGTTCTACACACGAAGACAGAGAAAAACATCGCTTTGGTTTGACGACTGGTTGATCCTCCCAGCATTGGTAAGAATTTCTTCTTTTCGAACATTCTCTGGACAGCAGGACTGATTTTTCTCTCAGGGACTAGAATTTGCTATGGCAGGACTGCTTTTTTGGGCCACTGCAAAGGGATCTATGGGAAGACATCTTCCACCTTCATCAGTGCCAGGCCCGACAGGCTACCTATCATCTACTTCCCCTCAGCAAATCAGACTTTCACAGACCCAATATTACCTCGACTGGATCGCAGCATTCCAATTTGGATTCGTCAAGCTTAGCATTCTCTTTTTCTACCAAAGGATCTTTTCCAGCTCCCTGGTGGATCGAAATGCCATGGGAATTATTACCACCGCTGCGATTGCTTTGACTGTGATTTGGACTTTAGCCTTCGGACTTGCTGCCATTTTTCGTTGCGGAGCAACGCCCCACTATATATGGACCAGTCTAATATCCGCTGGACAGCATTGCGGTGGTCATTTGTATCTACTCCATATTTTGAAGGCATCGACTATATCTGATTTCATCATGGATATTATGATCTGGTGTCTTCCCATTCCAAAAGTGAGTACAACACTTGCTCAATACTCAAATAATAGCAAGGAAAGGCTGACTTGGATTTAGATTTGGACATTGAATATGAGTACTCCTCGAAAAGTTGCCATTTCATCGGTGTTCCTTGTTGGTCTTATGTGAGAACTCTCCAGTGATTGGGTATTGATCTCACTAACAACCATAGAGCACGATTGGAAGCTCAGCCGCAAGATTAGCCGTCTACTGGAAATTTATCGTCAAGGGAATCGAAAACTCCAATGGTGAAAGTACGAGAGTCCCTACAGTCCACAAGACTACCCATATTCTGTTATCACCTGCTAACAAACCACAGAGATCATCACACTTTACGATTTTTGGACAATGACCGAAGGGGGCCTCGGACTCATCGTCGCATGTATACCCTCCATTCGTCCTCTCAAGGGTAGTTTTACCTCAGCCGCCATCCTCAGCGGTCTTAAGAGTACGTTTACCCTACGCTCTGTTCGCACCAAATCCAGTCTCGAAAGGAAATGGTCTGGTCCCTCTGCAGAACCACAAGACCCAAGTGCGCCAAATTCGCTAGATATGGAAGAGAAGCGGTTTAAGGCGGCTCACATACGCGAAACCAATGTTACCACTCAAATTGTGGGTGGTTTGCAAGTTTAAATATACGTACGGGATGTGTAAATTGGGGTAGCGGGACTTTCGTATGCAGGAGTTCAGTATGCGTCTTGGTATGGAAAATCATGTTCATATGGATATGAAGTTGATTTTGTCGTTGAATTTGAGTACCGTAGATGAGCGGTTAACCTAATGAGAGCTAAAAAGTTGGAAGCCCCTTGGTCTAACTCAAAGATATTTTGAGTTATCGAACCCTCCGATTACCAGCTCTGTACGATTAGCTTAGGGAAATATAACTTAATAGCTTCGCTCACACGCTTTTCCGTTCTTGTTCCATTCATATACGCGTGTGATGATAAACATAAATGGGCTTGCCCTCTTGCTCTCTTGACAACAAAACAACTACCGGTACTTACAGACAGCATCCATTTATTCCTCAATAATCACTTCCACACCGATAAGGTATGAATACGATTGGTCAGGATAATTCCATCCAAGAACCCCAGATCAAAAAATTAGGTCTCGAAAAGTACATCTAGATTCTATAGAAGGTAGTACTCTAAGCCAGAGGCAGCTGATCGCAGTGTAGTCAATGATTTGAACCAGTCGGGAAACTGGCAGGTTGAGAGAGCGTAGTTTAACTGGCAGTTTGAACATCATAAACTAAACCGATTGTTAATTAAATCTAACAAACTAATCAGTTTAATTGGAAACTGATAGTTTGAACCCCAAAATCCAACTACCAGTTTGAATATCATGAATTAAACCGACTGGCAGTTTGGCTTAGCTAAACTAAACTCCCAGATTAATCAGTGCACTAGTTCAACTGGTCAACTATTGACTACATTGGCTGGTCGGAGAGGCCAATCAGTCAGTCGATCAAGCGTTCATCGATATATATTCACCGTTGGTGACTCGGAGGCCCGGGCTGCAATAATATGATACGCCTACAAATGACTCTTGATTGGTAGTATAATGACGAGAAAAACATGGACCATGGTGCCGTTTGTATAGAGGGAGGGTCGGAATCAATATTCTGAGTTGAGAATTTGATCGCAGAGATTGTAGAAATAAGGGGCGGAGTTGCTGCCGCTAAGTGAGAAGTTGTCGAGTCTGGCAATTACGTCATGCAGCTAGATGAGGGTGGTTGCTGTTGCGCTAGACGTAGATGGCAGATAGGATGATGCTAGTAGTTTAATTAAAGAGGGTGAGAGGTTAGTAGAGAAAAGCGATATTATAAATAGAGTCGGTTATCGGAAGGGGTTCAGTATACAATACACTCGATTGATGATCAAAATGACATACAATACAGTTTCATCGAACTTTCAGATGCTGAATCACTAGTAACAATTCCATAAATCGCATCAGACAACCTGTATAGCATTTCCTGATACAGAACTAGCATCCAGTATCAACGAGAACTTCAACTGCATCTTCGAAGCTCCGATGATCAAATTTGCACACCAGAATCCTCAGAAGATATCTGTTAGGTATAGTATAGTACGGCTCCATGAAGTAGAATACTACTCGGTTGTATCGTCAAAAAGTCTAGGGCTAGTGACTTGTGTTTTCCTCCTATACTATTAGGATAACCATTTTCATTGGGTTGATTGACATCTCAAATCAAGCAAAAAATGCTAGAACATTGACAAATGTTCCCACTCGAGAAATGGTACTTGATGTATACATGAAGCAATTATTAGAAGTCTTTGAAGCAAGAGAGGAGTACAACTCTCTAAGTCAGAAAGATGCGAAAGAGATGAGAATACAATACTCGAGTAGTAAGCAAAAAAAGCAAAACAGCTTGCAACAAACCCCATTCTTTAAGCATCTCACTCGAGATCTCCACCCATTAAGTCATATCCTCAACTTTATCCTCAGTTGTCCCTCAATGTGGTTCACAAACGAAGACATGGGGATCCTCGTCTACTGTCATTAGCTCATTTATTTGAACATTTACTCGAGTATATATATCCAGATCCAAGGCCAAAATATCGGCTTCGGGAAATTCATAAGGCTCAAACACACCCTTCAGATGCAGGTACGACCTATACAGTAACGCGTCGCTTACTGTCGATCATGGTATTCACTTGTCATTTGAGATTGAAAAGTGTATGGCTCAAGGAATTTTTCAACTGTTGCGATATAACTACACCAGCGGTCCCTCAATCCTCAATCCTCAAACCCCAAACCCCCGGTCCAAGCAGTCTGAAATCATGACCATTTGCATAAAAAATACCATATTTCCACATACAAATTACAACACTTGTTCGATTCGAACTTCAGACCAAGTATCGAATTACCTACATGTATCACAAAATCCACACCAACATCCAAGTTCCGATACGCGGACGGATAGCCACAGTAAGCGAGCCGTTTTGAGACACACTTATTCCCATTACCGGTACATACAAGTTCAATCTTACTCTCATCTAAAAAGCGGAGATAGGTAGGTGATAGATAGGCTGAGACAGCTAACTTGTGCTCCAAACAATAGCCAATCGAGAAATTGTTTGTACTCTGTAAACACATGACAAGTCGATGCATGGATATTGGATATTGCCTCTCGTTCAAGTGGCATATATCGATAACGAGGCTCCACCAGTTACAACGTCTGCCGTTTACACTATACACTGTACACTCAGCCTTTATTTACCAAACAAAAATGAGCTCCAGTATGATATCTCCCCGGTACGGTGGTAGCAAAGTCCTCTTCGGTTGCATTACATTACATGCAGAAGGTTACGTTATAGATGAAAAGCCGCGGAGACTTCATTTCAACATGCTTATTCGGTTTAATGTGCGGCGCGTGAAATGCGACGAAGAGGCCTATCGGTATATGTTAGCGGTGGGTCTCAGGGCCAAACGAACCTGCGGAGGATCACTGCCGTTGACATTCACTACCCATAACGGGCCCTCAGGTTCATACTTCGTACATTCAAACCGGTGAATAAAACATCAAGTAATTCGATTCATTTCTTTCCTATCCATGGAATACATTGGCAGGAAGATTGATTCCAAACATCGTAGATCGTCTCCACCGCCAATTAAACGTCATCATATATAAGATTGTCTTGCGAAAGATTAGACCCTCTATACCCTGTGCAGGACAGGAACAGGTTGATTATTTCACCTGTTAGAACCCGCCAATACACGGAGGGAACCCGCTACAGCGTTGTTCATCTTGATGTGCAGCATTTGACACATCCGACTTTCCGCTATTCCATCCCGCCGCAGTTCCGACATTGCAAATGAACCGCGCAATGCTTTCGCTTCTCCTCTGCGTTGATATGAAGCTGGGCGAGATGTCTTGGGATTTTAGCCTCCCTCAATTTCAGAAAATACCTGAATATGTCGAGGGCATTTCCCCAAGTAGGAAAGCAGAGGGTCCGCTTCCAAAAAGCACGCCCCTGACCTTTTATTACCACCTCGGCTTCCTTGCGCCTCCGTTTCTATTCTGCATAAGGTGTCGAGACTCACTGACGCGTCGTCGAGTTTTACATATTCTTGAAAATTGCAATCGAAAAGAGGGGGTTTGATATAGTATGGTGTGCACTACTATCTCGAAGCACATAATGGGAATTGAAGAAAGAATTGGAGCTATGAGTGAGAGGGGCACTAATTCTAAACCCGATGACTAGGTTATGGAAAGAGCGGTACATATATCAGAAATATACAGGGTAAGAGAGTGTATCATGAAGTTAGGGCCGAAGAGAGAAGGATTGGTTAAGTATAAACGAGAGAGAGGGGGGGGGGGGGTGTTGTCTCTATTAGATGATGGTTAATTGGGTTACAGCAGCTCAAAGTGAGGGGTGAGCCTCCTTGTAACTAGGAATAGCGGAGGTGGTACCTTTGTGTACAAAACAACCTACATACTTTAGAAAGATCATAATTAATCATAAACAGATGGGACTTCGAAGTGTCCTCCAAAGTCAAGTACGCTTAAATGACTCCATAATTACTGGAGGGAGATATGCAAACATCAAGGAGTGGCCGGAACTCTTCTTAGCCCTAAACATAATCCAATTCGGAGACCACAACTTATCGCTCATCATATACAATAGCATGCGATGAAGAATGTGTTAGGTGTTCAACTCGCACCATAACTCTGGACGCAGAGAAATGCGGAAAATAACTGAGCCGGCGGATCGTACGACGTTACTGTGGCATAGTATAATTGATGACAGGACACGGCAGGACTTGGTGGTACAAGTCATGCCACTGATAGTAGAACGAGAACAATTCATCGGCTGTGGTTACCCATTCCCGAGATAACTCAAGCCAATCGATTATTTGTGACATGGATATATCAGGGATAATGGTCCGAAAGAATTGCCAAAACCATCAGGCCAGTTGTACAGCAGTTAGCTTCGCCAAGACTTTGAATAAATTCCTCCGGATGAGAATTCGCCCGCAAAATCCCATCGGCTGAAGAGTGTTCCGGATGAAGACATGCAACCAAAAATCTATCCAAGAAACAAAAACGTGAAGCTAGAACCGATGATCCTTAACGCAGTAATTAAGCACGATTTCGTGTGCTAAGTTCGCACTCGCAAAACGTGGTAAAGAAGTTTGAGTGGATACCCAAGTACCGAAAGCAAGTCATTGACTATTAATTCTTGCTTGCCGCCTCTCAGTCGTAAGCCATTGATATGCGTCTGATAAATAAACTTCGAAAGTCACTCGAACCCCAACTAGAAGTGTATGTGTGGTAGGGAATAATGTTGAAGGTTCCGTTGTTCGAGCATTGTTAGCTTTCGCAAATAGCTCTGGTTTCTGTGAGATCCAACCATGTCGTTGTCCTTCCACTATAAAAGCTTGCTTTCGGGATTGTCTCTTCTCAATTGGCATCCCCTCTCAATACAACCCCTTCTCTTTATCATTCGTAGTCGCCGCAAGAATGCACGTCCGGGCTTTTACACCTTCGAATCGGCCCTTCCAGTCTCTCCTACCTTTGAACTCGAAGCTTTCGCCAAAATTCTGTGCAAATGTCTTTCCTAGCTTGTGCGCTGTGGTCGCTTTCATGTCCGCTTTTGATGCCTCTGATGTTTCATTCCAGACCTGTCGCTAATCCACTTGAACAAGCCATGTTGCGGAAACCATAAACAGTCCGCACCCAAGTTGTATCAACTTTCAGGATTTCCCAACATCTCTCGCAGCCGCCGACAAAGACTCCACCATCGCCAACTATATACGGGTATTTGTGTGTAAGACGTATTGCAACGTTTTCGCCCAAAGACATGCTAGCTATATCTGTCTTGCCGTTTTTCGCATGCTAGCCGATGAGATCTGCGATAATGGAGGCAGTGTCGGGAATGTTGAACGTTATGGAGGAGGAAGCAGTGGATCGCCCGTATGGTGGAATGTCAGGTATAAGAGTATGAAAAGAAGAGAGGCTTACGGAGCTCGATACTCAGTCTCATTGATGTGAAGAAGAGAAAGCTTCATGGAGAACTAGCAGTGTTCGAGAACCTAGAGAATTAATGTATTTGAAGTGAAAGGTGTAGAGAGTCATAGTAGCTAAGTAGCGGTTGGTCAAAGAAGAGTGAAGTTATTTAGGGTTTGTGACCAGCAGATATCGAGTTGTATTTACCATGAATTGAAGCAGACGGAAGACGAGACAAGACAAGATAGATGAGCCGCAATATCCGATGTTTCCAGGTGGGGCCGTGCGCCAGTGTTCTACTTGGCTGAATATAGAAATTGATTTAGAAATGTAACATTCGTCTTAAGAATGAATTGTATGCAAACTCTTATTTGCTCAATATCATCATTTCATACTTTTTTCCTTGTGATAGACCAAATGAAGTCCTCTCCTGGTATTGTAGCACCCGCATGTTGTTAGCTTGGGCGAAAAAGGCGAAAAGCTTGATTTCTCGTGCCATGTTAATTTCCGAAGCTTCAATCGTAGTTCACAGCATCAAAAGGCTTACAGCGATGTGCTACCAAGTAAAATTTTCAAGCAAATATAATTCGATATCTTCTGGTAACAAGAAAACAGGAAGCCTTGGGGACTATGAGGAGTCTAATGGATTTGCCCACTTGTCGAAAAGTTTCCAAGAAATCGTGGTCAACAAAATCACCCATCAAGGGATGTTGTCTTGTCAGAAAAGTTCTCAATACATTTATTTGCCAGTCATGAGGAGCCGGACCTAATGGAGGATCTACACTACTGTGCTTCATGATCGAATGCAGGGTCTAGCTCTACTTTGGGCCTGCTCCAAGCCCCACGGAAAGCAATGCAGGTCGCCTTTCCTAAAGTTATGAAGACGATAGGCTTTTGACGTACTTGCCAATTCCTACCTGCATGGCTCGCTGCTTCCCCGATCGTGTAAGTTGGCTATCATCTCTCGATATCTCACTTTTGATTGGTGATGATCAAAAAGGTAATCTTGCCGCATTGCATTTGCATCTTGCACCTTTCCAAGGAACAATTCGAATAACCTGCAACGTGATTTGGAGAGACGACAAAGTATTAAACCTCTCTGCAAGATACTGATAAATCTTCCATTCACTTAACAATCAGAGGGTTTTAAATTCAATTTCTCATATTTATCTTTTGAGGTCGATATATATATCGAATGTCTACCTAGTATTTAATCAGAGAAAAGACATATTGATTCGGTTCTGGTCGCATATAGCGAGGCCTTGAGTATCCTCATTCAGGCAGACTTCAAAGAAACTGCCATCATGCTATTTTCTTCTCTCTACATTGCCGTGCTTCTTGCCGGGATATTTCTTGATGTTTTAGTCCAAGGCCTCTCATCTACTGACGAATATAGAGATGCAGATCTTCAGCAAACAGGATATTTGTGAGTACTTTATTTCATATTCACAAGAAGAACACTGAGTAATAGTCAGATCTAATCATAACATGGACCCGGGAATCATTGACAGTTCATCGTTCGGGCAGCTGTGGAAAGTCGCTTTCAATTTTCAAGAACAAGTCAGTAAAATTCGTTATATCCCTATCCAGTGCTTCGCATGTCAAGCTCTCTGCATTCTGCAAGGCACATAAACAGGGCAACTACAGGAGAGTATCATGATCTTCGCTCAATTCTTCATCTTTGCATGCATCAAACGACTAACTCTGTGTTATCCAAATGTGTTGTCTGAGATGGGCTCACTCGAGGTAACCAAAACACAAGCCATTGCTGATGAAGACAGTTTTATGCCAAACCATTGACTTACACACCACTTGCGGGCGGCCCTCAGTTGTTGTTTCTTGCTTCTAGCCAAAACTATATCAGAACTCTTAACGCAGAGACTGGTGTTCTCATAAACTCAAGACAAGTTCATACCCCGTTCTTACAATCTGATATAGGATGTACAGGTAAGTCTGAGGTGAAAGTGATGCTGGATTTCATTGTACTGATATCGCGCAAGACATTCCCAATTTCATTGGTATTATAGGCAAGCAAGAATCATCCCGGGACCTTTTACCTCCGCTAATCAAACTGCAGGCACACCTGTCATCGACCCCGCCACCGATATAGCATATTTCTTCGCGAAAACTTACATACCAAACTATAGAGTGGCCGGAAACACTGGGACGGCCAATGGTGTTTACTATTTCCATGCAGTCAATGTCAATACACTACTTGACGTGTTTCCACCAATACTTATCGACGGTGCAACTGCCGACAACGCCCCCCAAAAATACTTTATTGGAGGAGTTATTTTACAACGCCCTTCCTTGACACAGGTTGGGAGTGTGGTTTATGGCGCTTTCGGGGGGCATTGCGATCTATTCAATTACACTGGTCTTGTAATGGGGATCGATATTATCAAAGCCAAGATCATTACAAATTGGGCAGTTGAAAGTGGACCACTAGTTCCGCAAACAAATGTTCTTTTACAGGGAGGCGGTGGTGGAGAAGGCGGAATATGGATGAGTGGAATGGCATTGGCAACGGACGGAAGTAGGCTTTTCCTTGTGTCGGGGAATGGTGGTGTAAGTATCTCAACTTCCCAAAAGTTCTTAAATACACTGACGATTCTAGGCTCATCAAAATCAAGGGACTCCAGCTTCCGGTTCGAGTGGTTGTCAAACCCTCGGAGAAGCAACTATCAATCTAGCCTTGGACAACACAGGCGTAATTTCTGTGTCGGATTATTTCCAACCCTATGACTATCAAAATATGGATGCTGGTGATCAAGACTTTGGTAGTGGAGGCATTGTTCTACTCGATCCGAAAGTATTCAAAGGCACAGGTGTGGATAAGATGGCTGTCACTGCTGGTAAAAATGGGAAAATCTACATCCTAAATGCGAATAATCTTGGAGGTTATAAACTAGGACCTGGACAGACGGACAATATCTTGCAAACCATTGTTACAAGTGCAGCCGTGTTTGGAGCATGCGGCTCTTATCCTCTAGAGGGCGGTTTCATTTACTGTACTCCAGTTGGCTTGGCAACATCGGTCTACCAACTCACATTTACGTCTAGCGGCCTTCCCCAAATGTCTAAGATTGGCCAGACGAATGAGTTATCCGCAGGTCGTGTTGGAGTTGGAGTTCCAACTGTTACCAGTTTTAACAATCAAGTCGGTACCGCAATTCTTTGGATGACAGATCCTGATGCCGGTCTCCGCGCATGGTATGCTGTACCTCAAAATGGTGTGCTACAAAAGATTAAAATACCACAAATTGGAGGCGCGAACAAATTTCAACGTCCAGCTTTCGGCGATGGTCGAGTATATACGACAGATTCGAATGGTGTTCTTTATTGTCTCGGAGCACCTGTCAACCTCCCTTGTGAGTAATAACCTTCCCTCCAATGACACTTTTACTCGGTTGTGACAAATGTGAAGCACTATATGCTGATTCAACATCAAGTAAATTGCACTTCTCCAATCGATTTCGGGATGGTAGCCCTTGGAAACAAGTCAACCCAAACTGTTAGTTGTACTGCAATCATTGCAATTACCTCAATAAATGGTGCAACTGTTGGCAATGGGTATTTTTCTGTCAACAATTCAACACTGCCTGCCGGTCCCCTGGGAGTGGGTGCCACTTTCACATTCCCTGTTACTTGGGACTTGACGAACGTTCAAGTTGGAGCCACGGCGAATACATCGTTCGGAAATGTATCTCCTGGCATCAAAAGTACCCCCTTGACGATTCTAACGACAAACGCGGTCGCTGGCTATGCCACCCTTTATCCGATAAGTTTGACTGGTACTGAGGTATCTTCGAAACCTTTTCTTGCAATCGCCCCTACTACTGTGGACTATGGTGGAATCATTATTACAAACGTCAGTGTTGTCAATCCCCAATCAGCTATCTTTACAATATCCAATAAAGGATTGATGGCCATGACAATCACGGGGTACGCATATACTGCGGATGAGCTGGATGGTAATCCAATCTTCATTAATAGTACCGTGACAAATGGAATCTGGGATTTGGGATTTAACTACTTCACAGCAGTAGGTCTCCCAGCGATAGGAAGTCAGATCGCCCCAAGCTCGCAGATATCTATACAATCCTCTTTTGATCCAACCAACGGAACTGGATCATATAATTCTTACTGGCAAGTCTGGTCAGATGGAGGTTCAGTCAACATCATTCTTGAGGGTATTGCCTCAACGGCTCCAATAACCAACTTTTCGATTAGCAATGGGGAAGGTGGATGGCTTCCCCAGGCTAATCTTCTTATGGACTTTGGCAAGGTAGCACCTGGGAGTTCATCTTCGCAGCAGATACGAATCTGTAATGTTGGAGGTTCTTCGCTAGAGATTAGCAAAAGCAAGCCACCAAATGGTGTTTTTCATATCAGTGACCCTACAGAGCTGCACGAATCACAACAAATAGCCGTCAATGACTGTGCATATGGGACCGTTATTTTCTCGGCGAACGTGGAAGAATTCAACAAGCCAGACCTTTTACTCAACAATACCTGGACTTTGAATACAGATGATGTAAACTGGGGAGTCCATGTTGTCGAGATTACTGGGACCGTTATCTCGAAGAAAGTTGGCCCTATAAATTCCACGACTGGACAGACAATCTACAATTACCTTGGATGCTTTCAAGAATCTACGACTGGACCACGTCTATTCCCCAATGAAGGCTACAATCCTAATACCACTGCCAATGATAACAACATGTGCCAAGAAGCATGTTATGGACTTGCGCAATACAGCTTTGCTGGTACAGAATACACAAGTCAGTGCTATTGTGGGAATACTCCACCACCGCTAGCGGCACAAGATCTTACCGATGCATTATGTAATTTTGCTTGCCCGGGCGATCCAAATGATGCTTGCGGTGGGACAGGTTACCTTTCAGTCTTTTATAATCCTACAGAATATGTTGCTGGTACGGATCCAGCATTGTATGGACCCAAAACTGTCAGTAGTGTTGGCAATTACAATTACTTAGGATGCTATAGTGAAGCGACAAATGGTCGTGCTCTGGGTGGTTTGAGTCCTCCAGCACCTTCCACCGGCTTTACAATCGAGTTATGTGCAGCTGGTTGCACAGGATTCACTTACTTTGGTATGGAATACGCTAATGAATGCTATTGCGGGAACACATTAGGTGTCGGCTCGGTTAATCAAACGAGCACAACTCCAAGCGTTAACGGATGCTCAATGCTTTGCAAGGGCAATGCAAAAGAATATTGCGGAGGACCTGGAAGACTGGATGTGTATATGTTGAATACCGCAACAACTTCCTTGTCTCAATCTACGACATCGACTAGTACAACTACATCCACAACGAGCTCGAGTAGCACCTCTTCAACTTCTACGACGCAGACTACGTCCACATCTACATCTACTTCTACAACCTCTTCCTCAACATCATCAACCTCAACATCCACATCATCGTTAACGACATCAGCCATCCCCACACCCACAGGTCCCATCACGGTAACAAATGTACCCGGATATAACTATCTAGGATGCTACAGCGAAGCAACCACAGGTCGTGCTCTCTCTGGTCTACAGCCCGCGCCTCCCGTCGGGGGTTACACAATCGAATCTTGCAAAACGAGTTGTTCAGCTTACGAATATTTTGGAATGGAGTACTCCAATGAGTCAGTCACCCAATCTCTCCATAGTTTTTTCACTAACACTTTAATTTCCAGATGCTACTGCGGCGCAACAATAAATGCCGGATCTGTACTTCAAGCAAGCAAAACTCCTAGTGTAAACGGATGTGATATGTTATGTACTGGGAACTCGGGTGAATACTGTGGAGGTAATTCTTCCCATCTCATCTTTGACGAAACCAAACACACTAATGCATACAAATTAGGACCCTCTAGACTCAACATGTATCAACTTAATGGCACTGTCTCAACACCAACTCCAGTTGCTGGACCAATTACAGTCACGAATTTGACAGGATGGAATTATCTAGGATGTTATAATGAATCTACAACCGGTCGTGCGTTGAGTGGACTACAGAATCCAATTCCGGGTGCGAGTAATAGTGTGGAGGCTTGTGAGACTGCTTGTGGGGGGTGGACTTATTTCGGGGTTGAGTATGGTGAGTTTGACTTTTCCTTGGTCAAATATTAGGAATGGGGGTCTTGTTAGGGAGGATCCGGGTAGGTGGGGAGGTTTGGAGGGGGGAATCTATGGGAATGCATGGGAGTGATATAATATGGATACTAATGGTGACCGTGAAATTCTAGGTGATGAATGTTATTGCGGCAACGTCTTAAATGCAGGCGCAACCCTTCAGGTTGGCACAACACCGACTGCGACAGGATGTAATGTGGTGTGTAAGGGGAATGGGACGGAGTATTGTGGGGGGAGTGTGAGGTTGAATGTTTATCAGGTTGTGTGAGGGGGGTGGTGAAGTAACTTGGTGAGAGATATGATTGGGGTGGGTGATGTGAGAGGGGGGATTGCTTTGACTTAAGACATTACAGTCGTTTGATGATGGATATATGCGGGATTTTATCTTCGGGCTGTGTTTTAAAAAAGTTAAGGTTTATTTATTGAGTTGATTTGATTTGAATGACTATGATGTGATTCGTGCTGGGAGATTGTGGGTGGATATATGAAGATGTGATGTGATAGATAAATGCGAGGATGTTGTAATTAAAATATTTGAGTTGTACTTGGGGAATTAGGTTCTGTTTGTTGTTAATGTGGTTTTTGTGGTTGGGATGGAATGGATGTGATGGGATGGATGGATGGATGGATGATGGGGAGATGTATCGGATGAACGGGATTAATGGGGTGGAGAGATGGGTTGTAATGGATGGGATTGAGAGATGGGAGAAGATTGGATAGTTCCTGGGTGAGATCCGGTGGGGTGAGGAAGTGGTAGACAACAAGTATATAATCTGATAATGGGGCAAATTTTTTAGTGTTTGATCATTGGGACTATGTATCGGCACGTTTTCAAACGATGGCCTGGGGGAGAAAGTAGGTATAGAAATGTAGTGTGTTGTGATGTGGTTGGTATACCGGTACTTGAGTAGAGCTGGGGAATTAGAAATTAGAGGGTTAGGAGAAGATTATGGTGAAGGTGAGGGAGAAGATGATTTGGTTATTGGGAAATTGGGAAGTGTAGTGGTTTCTGGAAAGCGGGGAGATGAGAGATGGGAGATAGGGTTATGATGAGATTGTGATGAAGTGAAGGAGTAGGGATCAGAGAGGGTGTTTTGATATAGAATAGAAGTTCATAAGCTGTGGATTAGATTGATGGGATATGATTATGGGAAAGCAAGTTTTTCTTAAAGCTGGAAGATAAGGTTATAATTAAGTGTAGGGGCAGAGAAAGTACTTTGATGTAAGATTACTGTTGAAGATAGCTTGTAATGGAAATGGTTGATGTATTAAAATGAGAGTTTTTGAAATATATGCAGATAGAATCTACTACTGATCCAGTTGCGGGAAGGGGAAGGTGCATATATATATATATATGCACCTTCCCATGATATTTACTTTTTCGGCTAAGCTACTTGTATACGATGGCGGGGTTTCTATGTTTTGCTGATATGCAATTTGATATTCGAAACCTGATGGGCAGATATTGGTGCACAGCGGAAAGCGACGGTTTTTGCCAGAATTAGGGATTTGCACTCGCGTGTTTCATCTGATTAGGTGATTTTCAGATGCAACCAATAAAGGAGATGGGGAGACAGAGTTAACTTGAATTCGATATGATTGCTTTTGGGGAAAGTATCGAAGAATGCGTTACTGGGAAGTGATATATGAATAAGAGATAGCAAACAGAAGATGGAACAACCAATGACTGAGATGGGGTGGGGTTAATCGACTGCTGGGTGTGAGATTAAGACTATTATTTAATGGCCACGCAACTGATTAGTGCAAGAGGTGCGGAAGTAGCATGAGTTGAAAGTAATCCATAAAAGCCTAATGGCGCACGGATGTTGAGCACGGATCTCATAGCAACAGTGAAGTTCAACATCATCTCATCCCATGAATTTATTTATGATATTTAATTGAGTGAATATCTTCCTACAGTGAACATTTTTTTGGTACTACTGGTATCAAACGACTCGGACATAATGAGGCAGCTTTTTGGCCTTGTCTCGAGATGCTCTATGAGATCCTGGAGGATGGTGTGTCCAGATAGTTAAGTAACATGGAGAACTTGCATCCGCATTGCTTCAGGATAGTTGACATTACCATGATCGTAGCGGATCATTGGGCTGACTCAGGAATTGAGGGCATGGTGAACTGTATGTTTAAAGTTAGGTTGGAGCTCCTAGGTCTCGTATAGGTGCCCGGACTGCAAGTGCAGAAGGCGGGGGTAAGCATATTTTGAGTTCCTTTGAGTATGACTGGCGCTCTGTGATATTTCATATTCCAGTCAATTTGTTGGAATTCTGATCATTCAGATCCCTGCGAACTGCAAACAGATACCCATAGTAGTGGTCAAATTAATCAGTGGGCCGTGAGGCGGGATATCCTGCCGAACAAATCTTCAGATGGTGTGGATGATTAAGAATTTACCTTGCTTCCAGCTGTTTTGTTGACAATGGCGCTCATAATATGTGGTGTATAGCGTTCCTTGTTATTGAGAACTGGCTTAAAAGTCACATCGGGTAGCTGCTTATACGCAAAACTGATCGAGAGCTTCGCGAAGAAGGTAGAAGCCACATGGAACTAGCTCCATATTCACTACTCGGCATCTGATATCTCAACCCATCTAGTCTCAGCTTTTCGCTGTCAGATATACTCTCACTTCCAAGATTTCACCATCAACAATTTCGAAATAAAACAACAACGAAACCACAAACCCTAACTCCGAATTTACGATCCCATTCAAACAACAACATTTTCTGAACTGGCAGATTGTCTCAAACCGAGAAACATTACAAGCACACTTTGATCCACGCCCTTGAAATAACAACTCTTTCCTCGGGTATCTCAATTGCCTCGATCTTTCATAACTTACCTTTACTCTTTGCATAAACAGACTCTGCCCCTCACTTTCGAACTCATAGAGGATTGCTCTTGATAGATATTCGACTCAAGCTCTTCGCACCCCAGCCTATCAAGCCGATCAAATTCGGTCTTGAGAAATATCGAAATTTCTGCATATGGGGCGAGTGCCTTGTAGCAACAATACATCAGCAATGAGTCTCAATAGCTCCTGGGCCTCCATGATACCTTCAGTAGTGAAAGATCAGAGATATCGCACGGAAAATATAGGTGGATTTCATCGGATGGAACATGCTATGGATGTAGACGCAAAATTGACTGCAAAATCACCGTCGGCACAACCTGCAACAAGTATCAAGTCTACACCCACAGAAGGTCATGACGAATATTATTCTCAGACTAGAAAAGATAAAGGCGACGCCGCCGATGACAAGGTCAAGCAAGAGTCGATGTCTCCTTTATCAAGAGCAACCTCCAACAAGCCTAAATTGCCAAGGACATCCATATTTACCGGTCTCCAAGGTATCTTTAATCCAAAGAATCCCAAAAATGTGCCAGTATCTGGCGACATTCATCCGGTTCATAATAATACCTCATCACTGGCGGAGAAAAATATTTCAACTCCTCGAAGACATCCAGCGCGAACGCCTAAGGAGTTCTACGCTCGCCAATCCGAAGACGAAGCTAAGAAAATGGCCACACCGAAAGCAAATTCCACAATCGCTGATCGTGTAACAAAACCTACTAGCCAAAAGTCTTCTAGCCATAAGTCTAAGAAAAAGAAGTCACAATCTGACAAAGCCAGTTTGGAGAAGTTGAAGCAGAAATTCAATGCTGCTGATCCATTCAGCCTCGATCTTGGAAAAGAAGCTCGTGCTTTCAAAGCACGAACACAACAGCAACAATTTGACAATATCCTTGCGGACTGTCCCGAAAACCACGATGTACATAAACGTGGTGTGAGTAAAACTGCATTGTTAAAGGCCAGTCGGAGTTTCGGTCACGGGAAGATGAAGCCTATGGATGGAAAATGGCAGCTGCAAGGGATGAACTGCGGTAAGAAGAACCACCAGATGACTAGATTTATTATTGACAACCACTACAGCGCTGCATAATCATCAATTGATTGGATCGTCCTGGATGCTTTCCCGAGAGTGTTCTCTGGAAGGCCCACAAGGGGGAATATTAGCGGACAGTATGGGACTAGGAAAAACTATTCAATGCATAGTTGTAAGCTCATCTAGCACCAAACACGTGTCTAGACATTGAAAGCATAGGTAATGGTCGCAAATCCTCCGGACTGTAAAAAGTCCCGCCTGAGGAGCGGACTACTCTGATTGTGGTCCCCAGTAACATCGTATGTATATGTCCTATAATACGCAACGTTAAACAAATTGCTTGCAGCTTCTTCAATGGAAGAAAGAGCTGAAGAAACATGCTGGTGACACGATCAAGAAGATAGATGTCTACAAAGCAAATGAGGGGCGAGATGCGATAATCTACAATGGTCTCGACGTGATACTTACCACCTTCAAAGAAGTTACTAAGAGTATGCTATGGCCAGATAATGACTCGGATGGAGAACTTTCGGGTTTGGATACATGTATCAATGAAAGTACGAAGGGCGCAGGTGCCTTGCACCAACTCCACTTCTATCGAGTAAGTTTTGCATCAGTTTAAAAGACACATAGAAAAATCTAACACGCAACTTTAGATCGTTATTGATGAGGGGGTGAGTAATCTATCTACCTTTCAGTACAACAGCGAAATTGCGTACTCATACATAGCAGCATTTGGCCAAAAATCACAAGACAAAGACAAGTCGCGCCTTGAACGCTTTGAAGGGCACCCACAGATGGATCTTAACTGGCGTAAGTTGCCTGATCCTTCTCATCTGGGCAACACTAATATGTTGCATAGATACCGTTTATGAACCGTCTGGAAGGTATGATAGTCGTATTACCTTCATGATCCAATTACTGAAGCTTACTGCCTTAGACTTTTATAGCTATTTTCGCTTTTTGAAAGATCCAGAAATAGACGATATTTCGAGGTCGGTCGCTCTTAATCCGGTCATGTTTTCAGAAAGTTGATGTTCTGTTAGTTTTTCGGCAACATTCTGCAAGTATGAAGATGTCAGTTCTGGCACTACACTTCATGGGATCTTCGTGTTAACGATGATATAGAAAGAATGCAACCTTCGAATGGTGAAAAAAACTGAGCAAATTGATGATTCGGTGAGTGCAAGGCTCTTGATTTTTACCAAATGAAATATATGAAATCATGTGCTAATATGCTTCAGGAGGACGATGGAAGATAGGATTCTTAATCGTCCGCTGGTATGGCTTCCTCCAGCTAAATCTAAAGCCATTAGTGTCAGGTTTAATATCGCGGAAAATATTCTATACCGAGCTGTAGAAGACAAGTTTCAAGAACTAAGGAAGCAAAAGTTCGCAGATGACGATCTGCGAAAACCAATGTCGTATCGTTTTCCTCAGATTTCATATCTGAGAGTAAGTTTTATTGCATTTGTTTACATAATCCAATTGACCATTATTCAGATTGGCTTCTCATCCAGCATTGGTCGAGAAAAAAACCATGGTTTGTCTGCCCCTCAACACCCTTCAGTCGCAAACTCACAGGCAGCAGGTAATTTTTGAGGAGCATGAACTAGCGGAAATCCAGGAAAAGATTCAGGGCCTGGATCCGGTGTTATATGAGCGTATGTGACCAACGCCTCGCACTCTATGAACTGCCTACTAACTTGAATATAGGCATAGGTTCTTGGATTAGAGGAGAAAGGGCAAAAGTAGTTGCTGAATATAATCTTTCATCGGAGGAAGCTACAAAGATGTGTGATCTGTGTTTGGAGGATCCAGAAGATTTGAGAGAGATTCCTGGATGCAATCACTTGTTCTGCGACTTCTGCTTGAATAATAACCAAAATTTTGAGCTTTCGGGAGTTGGAACAGAGGCAAGTCCATATCCTGGCGAATTTTGATGATGCTTCTGACACACACTGCTGTAGACGTGTAAATGTCCAGCATGCGATGAGCCGTACAACCCCTCAGAATTGGAAAAACTACAAGAGAAACGAGAAAAGACCCAAAAGCTTCCCAAGAAGAAGTTCATGAGAGGTAAAGACGCTCGCAAGTACATTCCAACCACACAGAATTCTGTCTGGCTAGATCAGTACGACCGAGGAAAGATTGAACTCAGGCCAAGTTCTAAGTTGGAAGCTGTCATGGAGCAAGTTCAGAAGTGGCTAGACGAGTCTCCTGACGAGAAAATCATCATCTACACGCAGTGGATAATGCTGAGTACAATCATTGGTCGCATGCTCGAGAAAGAGAAGATTGACTTTCTCTATTTTTCGGCAAGTCCGAATACGACTAAAACTGACTATAAATTTACTGACTATTCTCAAGGGCGACATGTCTCAGAAAACACGAATCGAAAGCGTCGAGTTATTTGAGACAAAACCTACTATAAAGGTTCTTGTCTCTGGCCTTAAGTGTGGCGGTCTAGGCTTAAATCTTGCATTTGCTAATAAGGTCATCTCGGTGTAAGTATTCAGTCTGTTTTGGTTTTGGTGCGGGATGCTAACCCTCTATAGTGATATGTGGTGGAATCCCTGGGCGTATGTAGGGTGTTTAATTTTAGTATTCACAGCTAAATTGTTTCTAGTGAAAAGCAAGCGTTCGGTCGCGTCCGCCGGATAGGCCAAACTAAAGAAACATTTTTCTCGAGAGCTATCGTGGCAGACTCTATTGAAGACCGACTTGCTAGTCGTAAGTTGTTCAAATAGCTGGCTTGGATTTTCAGGGTTTATATGACTAACAAACGTGAACAGTGCAGCTCAAGAAGCTTCGCATCAATAGTATCGCCATGCAGGATAAACTGACTAAGGAAGAGGAGGCATCTTTGCTTAAGCGCGTCCGGTCTGATACGACGCCTGACTTAGATGCTGTGGACCATAATGGCGGCTTGGTATATGCCCTCGTGGGTACAGATCCTGGTCTGGATTCGAATGCCGTCACCCTGAAGGAACCTTTTGAAGAGACATCTGGCGAATCTTCTGAAGAGTCCTCTGAAGACGACCTTATGGAGGATTATATTGATGAAATAGGCATGTTCGTTGATGCGGAGGCTTAGATTCTAAAAAGCCTCCAAAGATCTCCTCCAAATTGCCTAGGGAGAAAGTCGCATATCCCGATCTCTCACAGCATCTTACCAAACATATCTTCATCGCCGCAAACCAAAGCTAGAGATTCCATGTCAGATATCTACCCCTTGACGAACAATCCAAAACCTACAGCCGCAAAACACCAACACCAACACCAAAACCAATATCCTCAAAGTATCCATACAAAAGTTTCACCCCTTTGCTTTTATCGATATTCACCTCGCCTCATTCAATTCCTACATTCACCTCCATCACATTCTCAACTCGATATGTTCGCTGTCATTTTCAACGCTTGTCGATTCCAAATTGGTTCTGACGATGTTATCTTCGACACTCATCACTTCTCAGTCGATTGCATCGCTGTCAATCTTAACATCTTCTTTTCATCTGGAATACTCGCTGTCCCTATCGATATTAGTGATTTTCGAGCTAGGGTAGATGCATTATTATGGATAGATGAATGGATGGAAATATCTGAAATCCCCTTTACATAAATAGCACAAATAAAATCAATAGCACGATTTCATAGGCATGACCCTAGTATCTTTCTCATAACATATCTCTATACTTTAGTTAGTTAGTTGATTAGTTACATATTTTAGCACATTCACTCAAAGTATCATTGATTGATCTTCTCTTCCTTTAACATGTAATATACAACAAATACTCAAATATATAATACAAGTCTAAATCTTATACTATCTATATTGATACTATATTATTCAATCCCATGTTCCGTATAGTGTAGTTAGTATACTTTGTATAAGTAATACTATGATTTCTATACTCGAGTATTATAGAATCTCTTTTCTCTCTTCGCATCTTTTTCTTGTTTTCAATTACATTCTCATTCCCTTTTCCATTCCTTTACTTATCCTCCCCACTCCTCCTTTCTTTCCCAGGGTTTTCTTGGTTTAATTCAGCGCAGCTCTTCTCCTATATTACTTACTGTACAGTACTGTACAGTATTACTTTTATTAATGCCTACTAAGTACTTTCTAAAATCTATTAATCAACGCCATCTACTCCATATACCCTATCTCCTCCATCTCCTCCATCTCCTCCATGATCCACCTACTACACTACTCCATCAACTCCATCTCCTCCATCTACTACATTAGCATACTCCGATCCGAGTCATAGTTTAAAGTTTAAACTTATCAAAAATATATATATATATATACCGGTAATTAAAATTATATACTCGTAAACTAAATCGATTTGTTGAACTAATTAGACTAGTTAGTTAGTACTCGAGTAGTATAATGATTAGTTAGTATCGATAGTTTAAAGATTACACTACTAGTTTGACTACGAGTTGTTCAACTAGTTGTGTATTAACTATACTGTACTTATACTTATACTGTATTTGTACTTATACTTGTGCTTAAATTTATAATTATAAGTACTATAATAGAGTACATAACCACAACCACATAACCACAAAACCACACAATCACAAATCCACAAAACCACACAACCACACAACCACACATGACATCCAAAATCAAAATCAAAATCAAAATTGGTATCATCATTACTGCTGCTTTAAATATATCACCTCCTATCCCCTCCTATCCCTTTCTGTACCTTTCTGTACCATCCCATCCTGTACTATCCCAGTCCAGCCCAGTCCGGTCCGGTCCAGTCCAGCCCAGTCCACTACTACTCGAGTATTTTACCAACTATTCATTTCCTTTGCTTCATTCCCATCATTCCATTCCACTCCCCCCCATCATCCCCCATCCCC